ATTTGCTGTTTTTTTTAAAGTTTTTTTATTTGTTTTTGTATAACAGGTATCCTTGTTTAACCCCTTCTGCCCCAATCTGTAGACTAATGCTCCCCACCACGATACCCTGAGCTAAGAGGATATTAATCTACGCACCACATTGGAACAAGGCATCTGTAGTTGTGTAGGCTTTTAGTTTCAAAACTTACAGGGTTATTCACAAAAAGATGAAGAGTTTGGAGAAGGCAGGAGAAGGGAACAATCTAGGCCAAAATAGCTGATTTGGAAAAATTCTCAAATTCAACTCACTTCCAGTTCAGCTATGTTGTCCTAGATTGTTTCCTTCTCCAAGCTCTTCACCCTTTTGTGAATAACCCTGATAGTCATCTCTGACAGCACTGGTCTCACACTAATGAAAAGGAGCAACTCTGAATGATTCATGACCATGTGATCACTATTACAGACTAGGGATGCACCGATACCAAGTACCGTACTCAGTACAAGTACAGATAGTTTTCGAGCTCCAAGACTAGACTAGAGAAAATGTCAAAGTTAGGAGGCAGCTATCATTTGTAAGGAGCACACGGAGCTGCTGGGATTTGTAAATCTATGTTGTATTATATGATTTTGTTTTTATAAATATAAATAAAGGGATGCACCGATACTTGCCCAAGTACTCACAGATACGAGTACTTATACATTTTTGTTTATTGTCATGTGACAGTTTTTCTAAAACAATACAGACTAATGATTTCAGGACGGTGGTGAAGCGCCAGAGCCAGGTCCCAGCTGCAACCGCTGCAACCCTGGTAGTTCTCATGAAAATGTCAAGTATCGGCACTCGTCTCTAAACTGGTATCGGTGCATCCCTATTACAGACAATCATGGAGACCACAAGGGATGGTTTACAAACAAACCCACTGGCTCAGCTGCCATTGATCCTCACACAAAGTGAGGCACATTGACAGGTGGATGAGGCTGTTAAAGCGGAACTCCAGGCAAAACTTTTAATAATCCTTCAAGTTAGGCTACCACGCACTGCAAGTGTTAACTGCTTGTTTGGGTCTAGGGGGCAAAATAACAAAGCTGTACTCACCAGATCCTATGAGCTAGCAGGCTGTGACAGCGCTCTCTTCTACACTCCAGCGATGGTATATCCCTTGGTGTCCCGCATCCTCGCCTCAGTGTATAGAATGTGATGACTCAGGGACCTCAGACCACTGCAGCAGAGGGTGAGAGAGGCTAGAAGGACTGGTTTAAGAGCAAGCCGGCTCAAAGGATTGGGAGAGTATAACTTTTTTTTTCCTCCCTAGACCAAAGTGCTAAGAGTTAATCCGTTTCAGCCCCCAAGGGCTTTATTCACAGTCTGACTGAGGCCCTTGGGGGCTGAAACGCATCAGTATGTTTAATACACCTGGTGTTATGCCCTATGACATGAATTAATAAAGAGGATTTTGCTACGTGGATTCATACCGTGTGCCGACGTTTTGCAACACGTACTTTGGAAGGCTGGTAGAGCTCCCTTTTTCTCAATACACAGATTTGTTTAAAGCTCAATCATGACTGGTTCTCTTTAGCATGTGATCATGCAATCTTGATAAGAAATAAGCAACCTGGTGACAGGCAGAGCACACATAACAAGTTTGCAGAATTCTTCCTGTACACTCAGTCTGATAGTTTAAACAAAAATCATTAGGCACGGCAGTCTTTTTTTTTCTTTTTTCTTTCTGCTATGCTCTTTCATTGTTGAGCTTCATAGCTGACTTTCTGAGAGAGCGGGGAGTACAAAAGGCATGAATATGTTTTCAAAGGATGATGGATAAATTGCTGGGTGGTATATAATATACCCTACGCTGTTGATGGGCCTTTTTATCTCTTACTTGTCTCTTTTCTTAACACACATTTTTCCCTGGTGATAATTACGGCCTGAAAGAACGTCTTTTCCCCTTCCAAGTATCAGCAATATTTGTCTTGGTTATAGGTTCAGGAACCTCCCCATAACATATCATAAAATTAAAGCAGGACAATTATAGCATTTCATTGCCAGTGAAAGACAGTCCCGGCACTATTGTTTTGGTCACTCGTTTTGTTACTGCACTGGAATGCTGGCAGGGAAACGTGATGTAAGCGGGACAGTGTGATATTATACAGCTGGACGCCCGTGGAATTCTTAATAGACTTTGCCGAGCTGAAGACACTGCCTGCTGCTTGAATGCTGCCAGCATTTCTAAGATCCACGCTATTAAAAATCAATGGAAACCATATTGAAAACCCGAAATACCAAAAATTACCCTGCATGCGTTAAAATAAAAACAAACAGCTGCAATATTCACCTTCTATTTGATATTAGCTAATACAGACTCGCCATTCTAAGGTATGGCATCTGGCCGTGGGTCTTCTCAGGTGACGGCCGAATCAAAACAAATGAGCGGTGCCGACCATGACTTCAGCGCTAGCTCCGTCTATATGTTGACATTTGGCCAGCTGCTGTCATTTGGCGGCGTGTGTTCGTCAGATGAGGATGGGTTAACAGGCGTCAGACCTTTTTTTATTTCGACGGGTCGGTGGCAACGTTGACAACGCTGGACTATGTGATTGACCATTGGATTAGTTCAAGGGATGCATTTTTTGACCTTTTTGGGTGTTTTGTTTAGAATTAAAGGACTTTAAAAAACTTGGGTAGTGTTTTTTTCTTCAACTAAAGGACTTTTCAAATGTGTGGTGTATTTATGTACATCTTACTCTTAACCCTTTAGTGAATGAGTAGAGGTACAATTACTCGTTACTCATTCACAAGGGGGCAGGGCATCGCATCAGGGTGCCCCTTAATTAAAGGGGTACCCTGAAGCAAATAAGCCCCCCTGCCCGCAGACCCCCACAACTAATGCCCCAGGGCTTGTGGAGAGGAGGCCCTTGTCCCCATCAGCACGGGGACAAGGTGCTTTTCCAGGGAGGACCCTGGAAAAGCACCCTCCCAGTGCTGAGGGCATGTGGCCTGGTGTGGCAGATCCTGCCCTGCCAGGTCTGTGCTCAGATCAAGGGCCTGGTAGGAATGATAGGAGGGACCACACGTTCTTTTTTCCCGTTATTTTGGGGGTGGGGTTCACCCATTTTAATTTCTGGGACCCCATGCACATTTTTTTTTTTCACTCGGTGGTTCCCTCCTGACTTTCTGGCCAGACCTAAGGGTCTGGTATGGATCATGAGGGGGGGGACCCCACGCACATTTTTATTTCATTTAACTTGGGGTCCCTCCTATTGCAAAACCGCCTGTGAAACGCTTGTTTAATGCGTTGTCAACCCTCTAGAGAGCGTTGAACGAGCATTTCAAAGGCGGTTCAATAGACTTCTATGGAGGCATTATTTCAGCGGCAATGCCTCCAGAACGCGACATGCAATGTATTTTATTGCCGCAATGCCCATGCGTGAACTGTACTGGCCAGTTGCTGTTGTTTTATCACCCATGGGTGTTAATAGGCGGCAGAGAGGCGTTAAAAACGCTTCTCCAACGCCTGGTTTTGCCGCATGTGTGAAAGAGCCCTGAACCAGTCAAGGCACCATTGCTTTGACTGAACATATTAACAGTAGGTGAAAGCACAAAAGATGTCCTAATCAGTGTGATGTTGCTCCTTCATCATCCAATCAGCAGTCTGGGGCAGAAGAGGTGACCAAGGAAGAACTTCAGCCAATCTTTCCTACCAGACGAGTGAGAAGAAATCATGTTTACTTTTAAGTTCATGCCGCTACTGGTAATTGATCAGCTGTAGAGAATCTGCAGATTTAACACTTTGGTATTTCAAGGTAAATTTTTGAAAATATGTAGTCTTTTTAATGTGTTTTTTTTTTTCCGGTCTTGGAGATACTGCAAAACCAGGTTGATGCAAGGAATGGCTATAGAAATGAATTTAATATATGGTCCCCAGATAGGGATGTATTAAATATTAAACTGATAAAAACAGATGCTACACTTGATCTTAGCCAAAAGGCAGAGAAGCTATGTGTTTTTTGTTAATTAATATGCTTATAAAAATGATAAGCTTGATGTAATTCACTGCATTCATGTTTTAACTCATGACTTGTTTTTCTGTATAGTTTGTACATATATACGTACATAGGGAATGGCCATACTTGTTTTTTATATATATATCCAGCTCCCTTCCCACTTAGCAGTGCTACACAATGATTGTGATTTATTACTCTTTCTCCCAATGCAAGTAGACTGGTCGGGTGACCCACTGAAAATAATGTCCCTTGTGTGGCATATAGATCAACATTTGTTAAGTAGGGAGGCTGGTTCACTGGAGGATATGAGAGAGATCTACCTCTAGTGGCAAATCTACACATCTCTATATTTAACACAAAAAAATATATAAGAGCAAGCATGTACATTTTGAAGGTATGGTATGGTGGGGTAAGGGCTGGAGCAGTTTACATCTGTGATGATCCTCTAACATGTTATCTCAGATGGTCTCACTAGGAACCTGCCTGGTCCTAACCCTGTCACCCTGTCTTTTTTCTTTCTAGTGTGTGGTAGGACTGCTGCTTACCAAAGGTTAGGGGCTGCAATTACTTATTTGCAGGCTGTAATGAATCCAGAGCAGCTGTGCTCCTTAGTCATAAACTGCGAACCCCATCAAAAAATGGTACTTTATCATAGAAAACACACAGCGAGGCCAAGCAACATAACACTTAAATGCCACCTCTGGTCAGAGCATATAGAAGACTAATGACTGTCCCTGCATCCAAATGACTGGGGCCTGACATTTGGTAATTTAGGTGTCTAGCCCTGGGAAAGATTCACATGGTCACCATTTATCTTTGCTCTAGGTAGCCAAAAAGAATGGTTGGAAAGTAAAGGAAAGCATTCACATCAATTAAGCGACAGTGTTAATTTTCCCTGCATGGGCAAAGCGCGACTTTACTAGAGTTTTACAGAGTTCTTCTTGTTTATCAAAAGACATCAAAACCATCATATTTAAAAAGCTAACTGGTAATATACAAACAAAAACACAAAAAAATACCTTCAATATCCTCTGTGGATCCTCACTGGAGGAAGCAACAAAGATCTCATGTCCACTGACCACTCCTTCCGCCACAAAATACTTCAGTAGAAGATTGGAGTATGTGCTGTACGTATCCTCCTCTGTGGACAGACAAGTGATATGTTAACATATAATGCAAAAGTGGTCGATGGCTTTGGGCCACCACACACTAGCACACAATGGACCAAAGTTACAAGATTTATTTATCTGTATTGTGTGTGGAAGGACCAATAACTGAGCCCTACTTAAATCGAAGAGCGGATACTGCCATCCTCTCCCTGCAGGACAATGTAGTGTTTACCCAACACTACACCTGCATTTCTCGAGTTATTCATATAATGTAGGTCATGGTGTAGAGTCCGAGGTGCCATTAGCAGTGCCAGGTCATGTGACCAGGCTCTGCTCCTCCGGGCACTCGTTTTTCTACTTCATTTATTTATTTTCAACTTCACCCAAAGATTGATAGGGGAATGGTGGCAATGTTAAAGAGTTTCTTGGAAATAAATCTGCTTAAATCAGACAATATATACGGTACTTTGCAGGGAATCTAATAGGTTTGGGACAATGTGCCTCCATGGCCAAACCCAAATGAAAGGTCTCCAAGTTCAAATGTATCTCCAAAAATTGGTACTGTTGTGTGTTAGATAAGATGAAAATATAGACATATCTCAAAAAGACATAGATGGATCACTTAATAGTAACCACTTGCTCAGTTGATAGTACAAGATTAGCTTTGTATGAGAGCCTTATTCCCAAAGTGGTCAACTGTGCACAATACAGTGAAGGTAATTTATCAAAACTGGAGCAGACAAAATCTGGAGCAACTGTGCACAGTAACCAATCAGCCTCTCTCTTTAATTTTCAAACCCTAATGTAAGTCTTAGGAGGTATTCACCAGGTTCCCAGTACAGGTAGGGGGTGCATCCAACCCCTAGCGACCCAATAACTGGGTTCAAACACACAACTTAATACTTTTTGGAGGTAACTTTGAAGCTGGAGTCCATTCATTTGGGTTATTTCTAACCTATGATATTCCCTTCCCTGTAGTACCCCAAAGGATCCACACTGACAGCAGATATCTTATATACGCCATTTACA